AAGAGTTTAAAGTTGGCACACATCGTTTACCAGAGAACAGCAAGCCCTCCAGACGTTTACCTATACCAATGTGCTTATATCGTCCAGTTATAGTGTCACGAGGAGCGCGTGCCGGGTTATGCGACTCTGGAATCATACTTGTTCGGAGTGGCACTCTCTCCTCTCACGTTTTTTGAAGGAATAATATAGAAAAAGTGATTATCTTCTACTTGTTATTGTATAAAGGTACATATAATGTATATCAATAAAAAGTAAACTTTATTGTAGTTTTAGTGCGATGTTGGAGGATAATGTTGGAGGTTAATGGTGATTACAATAGGGGATTACAGCGCAATGCGCCTAGCAATCCACAACACATACTGAAGGAATGCTAAAATACTGTATGTGTAAAATAAAATAAAATAAGACAGATATCCAATGTCCCATGCATTAGTATTGTTTAAATTGAAAATTGAAATTGAAAATTGAATTGAAATATTGATACTTAATATCTCTCTATCTATATATAACTTATGGTTAATGATCCAAAATGTATCGAAAGAAACTGATTATACAATTGTTAAAACTTCATTTTACGAGTATGACAATTTAATTATTAGAACTTTAAACAAACCAAATCATTTCAGCACCAAAAGTATTAATGGGAATAAAGAAAAACACAAACTTTGAAGAGGTATTCTGGCAACAGAAGTCGAGATATTTGATATAAAATAAGTTTATTTGTATCCAGCGCTTTAGGTTTTATTATACAGTAGATAAAACATGATCCTAAAATCTTTAGCATGTCCAGGTTTATGTAACAATTAATAATGTACATCTGCTTTGAACGAAGCCATGTCTTCAATCCTATGGTCAGGGTAAGGAAAAGCTTAAGGTTTTTCTAAACACAAAATAATTTAATCAAATGACCATGTCACAAAGTTTGTCACCTTTAATGCCCATTGGCTAGAAAAAATATCAATAGAAAAGTATTGCCGATGATTCAAATAGATGTAGATGTTTTGACCAAGAGACCTAGTTTTAGCCCAAATTTTATTTGGATAATCAAAAGTGATAATCGTGTCATATATTTATGGTTTATAGATAAGCGCTCAGTGATGCTATGTACCAAATACCAAAGCCTGTGGCCAGTGGGGACAAAAATATTGTTTTGTTTTTGTTGTTGTTGACGATGAGAAACAAAGCATGTAAAACATTTACTAAATGTTACATCAACGTAGACAAAGAGTGAGAATAGACCCCCCCCCCTATTCTATGAATATCACTCATGTTCCCGGACAGCAAGCAAAATATAAACAAAAACACGTAACCTGCCAATTTGTGAAATGGATTTGCCCAGCTTTGAATTTGGAATATCAAAATAAAAAATCTGAGCTGCCAACAGTATAGAGCCTGGTCAGATTTTACGGATAAGCGGGCTGCCCTAGCTATATACTGCTGACAAAGGCTTACCATTTTCGGTTTCAGCAGGACATGAAATATATACTGTTAAAAATGAGTGACCTCGACTTTTAACCCCAATTGGATAGACTCATTAAGGCGTATCTACATTTAATGTTCGAAATTCCACTGCTTGTGTGGTCAAATTTAAATCTTGCTAGTACAGGTAACATTGACCTTTTGACCCGAAAACGTGTTCACAGAACTCACGAGGGTGCGTCCACATATTACATGTATATTTCAATGTATTTCGTTGTTTGAATTGAAGCTAATAACCATAACAAGAGGGCCATGGTGGCACTGGATCACTCCCCTGACCCATCAACCGCATCCAAGCAATGTCTTAGACAAGCATCCTGGCCAAGTTTGATGACAATTGAGTAAAAAATGTGACATCTAGTGTTTTTAAAAAGGTTTTCCATATTTGGGCATTGTGACCTAATGTTTGACTGGAGATGACCCATATTCAAACTTGACCTAGAAATCATCAAAACAACCTTTCTGACAAATTTCCTGAATATTTGTATCAAAACTGGAGCCACTACACTGTTATAAAGATTTTTCTATTTTTAGCTTCTGTGACCTAGTTTTTGACCGGAGATGACCAATCTTCGAACTTGTCCTAGAAATCATCAAAACAACCTTCCTGACAAATTTCCAGAATATTTGGATCAGAACTGCAGCCAGTAGAGTGTTAACAAGTTTTTTCTATTTTTAGCTCCTGTGACCTAGTTTTTGACAGGAGATAACCCATCTTCGAACTTGACCTAGTAATTATCAAAACAACCTTCCTGAAAAATTTCCAGGATGTTTGGATCATAACGGCAGCCACTGCAGTGTTAACAAACTTTTTCTATCTTTAGCTCCTGTGACCTAGTTTTTGACCGGAGATGACCCATCTTCGAACTTGACCTAGAAATCATCAAAACAACCTTCCTGAGAAATTTACCAGAATATTTGGATCAAAACTGCAGCCAGTAGAGTGTTAACAAGCTTTTTCTATTTTAGGCTGCTGTGACCTAGTTTATTGACCAGAGATGACCCATCTTCGAAACTTGACCAGAAAATCATTATAAACAACCTTCCTGACAAATTTTCAGAATATTTGGATCAAAACTGCAGCCAGTAGAGAGTTAACAAGCTTTTTCTATTTTTAGCTCCTGTGACCTAGTTTTTGACCAGAGATGACCCATATTAGAACTTGACCTAGAAATCATCAAAACAACCTTCCTGACAAATTTCCAGAATATTTGGATCAAAACTGCAGCTAGTAGAGTGTTAACAAGCTTTTTCTATTTTTAGCTCCTGTGACCTAGTTTTTGACCGGAGATGACCCATCTTTCAACTCGATCTGTATTTAGTTGAGACAAACATTCTGACAAAGTTTGAAAATGATCCAATCAAAACTGTGACTGCTAGACTGTTAACAACCCAGTTGTTGACGACGAACGACGCACAACGCACGAGGACGGACGCCGGACATAGCCCCATCACTATACCTCACCTTAAACACAGGAAACAGTTTTTAGGGTTGGCCAGCTTAAAACAAGCAATTATTAAAATTTTGCAAGCAAAACAAAAGTCCGGTACAATTATGTCATTGTGGAAGACATGAATGAACTTAAATCTTTTGAGTTCTTAGTTTATCTATATCATAGTAATGTGTTAAGTTTTCATGCCTATTATAATAAGGAAATTGTGTCTATACAACAGATTATCAAAAGATCCAATTTTCTCAGAATAAATATGTATTACTAATGTTTCAACTTTTAACTATTGTAAATAAATTTGTTGAAAGTTCCAAGTTTTTTGTTTTTTTTTAGATAATCTCAGGAAACAGTTAGGGTTGGCCAGACAGACTGACTGAGGGAGGGCCAATATAAACATCCCAGATTGTAACCAGAATATAACATTTTTAAAAACTGAAAAGGATATAACTCTTGAAATTAAGATGCTAGAATTATGAATAACATCATACATGATGTGAGTGGTGACAAAAAACAACTATAAGGGTTTTTGTCACAAAAACATGTCTCCCAAAACAATGTATGGTTCTGATCACTCCTGTGAATTTTGGTGGAAATCCCACCATCAATTTGACCTATGAATGCTGGACAAGATTTTTCTATTTTTGCTCTGGTAGCCATTTTGTGCAGCGAAGCAGAACATGCCCCGGATATGCACAACTAAGGATGTAAAGTTTGCTTGAAATCCCACCAGTAGTTTGACCTGTGAAGGCCGGACAAGCTTAATGCGGACCGAATAGGGATAAAGGGGCATTTCTATTGTCATTTTCTTTTGTTTAATAGAGGGTCATGGCCCCTTATTCTATTGTTACAGAATGAATTCTATTGTTCTCTTTTGTTGTTTACAGTTAGATGGCCCCCTGTCCCTATTCAGTAGTGCGGACAAACGGACAGACGTTGAAGGCAAAAACAATCTCTTCCAAAAATTTTGGGACACATAATTACCTTTCAGTCTGAAGTAGATACAATTTATAGTAACAAAGCAGCATTAAAAAATATAACACTTTTCAAATAAATTCAAATTTCTAAATGAAAATAATCGTGGAAACCATGGTGCTAGACTTATAAATTAATCACATATGATGTAGGTGTTTATAATGATCATATATTTGAAGTTTAATAAGAAGAAATAAGAATGTTATAAAATTAAAAAGGGAAAAATCAAAGTTTACAGGGGAGATAATTCTAGAAATAGGGACGATAGATTTATAAACCTTGCCACATTAATATTATCTTGTAGTTTGAAGAAAATCCTGTAAGAAATGAAGAAACAAATAATTTCTTTAAAAAAAATCTAAGTTCAAGTAGGACATAATTCTGAAAATAGTCAAGCTAGAGTATTGAATCTTTTTACACATGAGCAATAATAAGGAACATATACTTGAAGTTTTAAGTAGAAAACAACATTTTTTTCATGAAAATTCTAAGTTAGAGGATGATAATATAGGTGCTACATTAAACTTGCGGCATATGATGTGGATGATGATAAGAAACATATATCCTAAGTTTGAAGTAGATGCATAAGAAATAAAGAAGTTAAAAAAAAAATAATAAAAAATTCATGAATATTCCAAGTTCAAGGGTGGTAACTCGTTCAAAAGTTTTGAACCAAGACATGCATAATCTCCATATAGTCATCTATCCATATTTCAAGTTTCAAAAGAAAAGTTCAGTATTTTTTATATTATCACAAATATTGTTATATTTGCTATATTTTAAGTCTATTTGTTGCCATAGCAACCACATCTTTCAACATAGGTAAAAAAGATGTGCATAATCTCCAGATTGCCATTTACCCATATTTCAAGTTTCATAAAAATATTTTCAGTAATTTTTGCAGTATCACAGGATCCAGTTTTGTGGAATGACAGACAGAGGGTAAACCTGAATTCTCCTCCGTTTAAACCTGTAGGGGACTAAAAACTTAACAAATGCTGTTGCTGCTGCCAAAAAGTTCATATCAACAGCTCCGCTTTTTCCTCCTTGGTGGAGAAAAGAGGAGGTAGGAGCAATTATCAACGAAACTTGTTCTGGTTCATTTTCGATGATTTTATTATATTATACCAGAACAGAAATTACACAGTTTATGTTACAGTCTGTTCATACACATGTACACAATAACATTCAAAGATAACTTATAAACAAATCTGTACAGAAAATTACCTATATAGGTAAATCAAAATAATGTGATGTATTTGTGAATTTACAGGTGTTTTTAAACATTTTTGACAATAACTCCTTTAATTTTTACAGTAATATAAAACAAAGTGTTCCTAAATACACAATCATTTTGCTTCATTAATATTTGTTTAATGCAATGTTCACATGTTTACAACAGATATTACATAGTTACACTATAATCAGATCCCCATTTATGTCATAAAAATAACTTTTATTTTCTGTCGGAATTTACCATTTATACAAGACACTATTTACTCTTTGAATGAATATTTTTCCAACATACATACAGGAACAAAACATGTCTTTTACCAATATATGTTTGCATACAGAAGACAAACTAAAACCATTACATGTTTCATTAATGACTTACAAAACTTTGGTAATGTTTTCTCATTAGGGGAACTTAGTTGTTAACTTTCTAATTACAGAACAATTCCAAAATGAAGACACTAACTGATAAATAAAACTTTCTTCTGTTAAAAATGAACATATAAAACAATAAAATATTGCTGCTGTATTACACGGTCCTGACATGATATAACTACGATGTGTAACATTTCACCATCTGCAGGTCCTGTATTTACAAAGCTTTTAAACAATGTATTCATCTGTCTGTCAATACAACATGCAAGTTAAAACTTGCTATATATACAGAGTACCAGTATCTGTAAGTGCAAGTCCACCATGTTCTACACCAAGGTTTGGATGCACAATGTTTTCCTTCATTTCTCAATGCCTTTCTTCACAGGAGACTCTACAGACTTTTTCTGTCTGGCATAAAACATTTCTAGAGGTTTATTAACATTCCAGAATTTATCATTAACTTGTTCAAGTGTCATAGAGCCAGGGAGTGGAGTGTAATTGTTAGCACCAGTGTATATAAAGATGGCATACTTGCTTTCATCTGCTGATGAGGGATCTGAAAATACAAATGTTTATAGTTATTTTATGAAAGAAATGGCTAATGTACTACCTATACATGCATGTTTAGTAGCAAAAGCAGACTTCCCGAAATACGTCGGTCCGACGGACATGTCCGATAAATTTTGATCAGGTCCGACAATTTTTTATTCCGGATCGGTCCGACTGTCCGGCTTTTATCCAAGCCACATTTATACAAAATGGCGTCGCTAAAGGTGCCAAACCTGGGAAAAACCGAAAATCTACGTCAGAAGAGTGCGCAGAACAGCAATAAAAGGATGAAAAGAATAGACCTGAGACAAAATTTAATGAAAAATGGAAGCAGAACCATGAATCATTGGTGTATGACAGGGAGGAGATGAAAATGCGCTGTACAGACTGTGCCGATTTTTACGGCGAAAAAATAAAAGACAAAAAGTGTCTTAGAAATACAAACACAAGTTTTTCTTTGATTTTGATCAATTTTATTTGGTCCGACAGATTTTGTTTCGGTCCGACAGATTTTCGTGGTTTGTCAGACCGAATGTCTGACAGTTTTTTTCAACTTTCGGGAAGTCTGCAAAAGAATATCAAATTATATTTTTACATGGTAACAGAATTTTCATATCAGTTATAATCAATTAATTAAGAACCAATGCAAGCAGAATAAAAAGATCATAATGAACTTCGGTTAAGGTGTCATAAAAGAATGACACTGCAAAAATAATTTAAAGTTTTTGACAAAGCTTACTGTTGTCAGGTCTGCCTCTGAACCCAGCTCTTTATCTAAATCAAACATAATATAATAAATTGAGCCGCGTCACGACAAAACCAACATAATGGGTTTGCGACCAGCATGCATCCAGACCAGCCTGCGCATCCGCACAGTGCAGTCTGATCAGGATCCATGCTGTTTGCTATCAGTTTCTTTACTTGTTATAGGGTCTGTAAGCGAACAGCATGGATCATGATCAGACTGCGCGGATGCGCAGGCTGATCAGGATCCATGGTGGTCGCAATCGCATTATGTTGGTTTTGTCCTGATGCGGCTCAATTGCCTTCCATAATTATAGCAATAAAGCCATTTAAGTAAAACAATATAAAATATTTTACAGACAAAACAAAATGTTTTATTACCTGCATCACTTTGAACCTCCAGTGATAATCTGATAGCCAGATACTTGGAGAGATGGTCCACTACAAAACACAAACAGAAATTATATTCATACAGTTCATTACACTGTTAAAATTGACCCGTTAATAAAGTAGAAATATTGTAATCACAAACATGTAATATGACATTTGTAGTTAAGACATAGTATTCACAGACATTCGATCTAAGAGTTCTCATGATAATATTGCCAAATTTGTGATATTTTAAGAGTAAAATACAATACTCTTAAATCTAATTTGGTGACCCAACCCGTATGTACACCAAACTTGTAAAATATAATGTAAATAAGACAAAAATTGTGACCAAACATCATAATCATAAGACTAAATTTTTTACCTTTATTTATTACTATATTTTTCTTTCATTTGGCAATGTGACCCAACATATTTTTACATCATATATGTAAACCAATGTCTTATAATTACATTAGCAATTATTTAAGAAGTATTCAGATAGAAAAGGCTTGTGCACTGATAAGTATAATGATTCTAAAAGAATGACGACAAACCTGTAGCATTTGCTGTTGTTTTGATATATCTTGACTCGTCACTTCTGTCTGCACCTTCTTTTGGGTACGGTTTAAATACAAGCTCAATCTCATTTAGTTGTGGGACCTCGGGCTGGCTTGACTCTGGCAATCCATCTAGCAGGGAATTCTCTGTACTAGAATCATCTGAAAACTGTTTGATTTTCTTCCTTGGAGTGTTATCATTTGATGTACATGAACCAGTGTCATTTCTCAGTAATACATCAGTGTCAGAAGCTTGTTTTCTCACCCTCTGTGCTCTATTTAATGCTTGCTGTCTCAAACCCTCTTCAATACTGCAAATTAATATAAAAAGATTATCAACATTTGTTTATTCATTTAATGTCATGCTGACACATCTACTCATAAAGAAAAAATACATTCACGTATATATCTAAATCCATTGTGATCTGAAGTTTTTATACAGCTTGAATCACTTAAAGAATGATAATATACACTTGGCATGCCAAAATAAAATGTATATATTTAATTCAACTTTTTTTTCTACATTTCTAATTGTGATTCCGATTTGAAACACCTTGTAATTACATTTTTGATGAATTTAACAAATGGTTTTTTGAGGAGAAGAGAGTAGGTGTCATCTTTTAAATATACAGTACATCCATATGAAAAATGTGACAGAATATGAATTAGGACTGTAAATGTTTCTGTTAACTATGGACAAAAAGTAACCTCTTACAGTGTCTATTCTAGGAATTGAAAAATAGGGGTGATTTTCCCCCCTCTATTTCAAAAAAGGGGGCGATTTTCAAAATCAAAGGGTGCCAATATAAACTGCCAGTGTTAAATCGTCTGCATTAAGTTTATCCTGTTTTCTCGTATTCTCGGGGGGTTAAGGACTAAACTTGGTTGCATAATATTTATAAAACATTTTGTTACAGTATTTTTAGCCTGATACACAGAGAAATACCTTATTAACAAAATACAAAGAAAGAAAGATCGTAACTGTAAGCAAAACTAAAGATATTTCTGCTTGTATATACTGACCTTCACCCTCTATGTGAAGCAGGTGCTTTCTCGTATTCTCGTGGAATTTGATTGGTTGTTAAGGCTGGTCGCTATGTGATGATTTTATTCTACATACCAGTTCAAATCATTAGTGCCACACCTAATTAAGTGTTAAATGGCCTAAATCTGTAATTTTATTGTGTTTTAATAACAGCTTGGCAGTCCATATCAAACTTTAAGGATCATATTGATGCCTCTTTGGTACCAAATGATTTTGATTGTTCCAAAAATAGTTTGAACTGAGTTTAGTGTTGTTATTCACATAATCTCTCTAATATATATTAAGTTTAGGTTTATTTATTAGTTACTTATTAGCTATATGAGCATTAAACAATGACAACTACTGTTTTCCATTGCAGTTGTCAAAAGTGAAATGTGTTTAGGACAAACAATGTTTCTTTATTGGTTTTTAATTGGAGTTCATATCTTTTTTATATTATCTATTCGTAGTACAAATATTTTGAGCTGTATTGTATAAATAGTAGTGTGAGACCGTCATTTGAAGCATCTTGCGTCAGAGACCCGCTACAGGTTTCTGCAACATGGAAAAAACTAGAAAATTGATGATTTTTGGGGGGAAATTGATAAATTTAATTAAATTTTCTGGATTTTACGATTATTTCCACAGTTTTTTTGTTTTTTATCGGTTTTTGCCGCATTTCTTTTATTTTTTTAATGGAGATGAAATGCTCTGCTAAATAGACATGTTTTCGGATATCGACGGAAGTCGCGAGCGTCGCTTCCATCCGTTTTAATGATTCCACGAGAATACGAGAAACCCCGAGAATACGAGAAACAGGGATACACTAAGGCGTTCAACCGATGAAATATTTAAAACGATAATATTTATTTAAGGCAGCAGAAGTTGTCCCCCCTTAATTTTTAAACGAAAACAAATTATTACAGAACTGCCGCGATTGATTATAAAGCCTTTATAAGGGATTGGCAATACAAATAATCGAACTATCTTTCACGTCTAGATCGTAGCCAAGCTAGGAATTGCCTGACCTCATTTTTCCTGATTATTAACTATACTAAAATGGCGCCCAACTGTCAGACCTAGCACACTAGTTCCGGTTGATACGGAACATTCCGTTAATTTCCGTCAACTCATGTAACCAGTACCATACGGTACTAAATTATTATAATTAGCTTACAGTTACCTCCCTTCGGTTTTCGGTGTAAATGTAAACAAAACAACCAAATATAATGCGGGATGGAAGTTTTACGGTTTTATTAACTATTTTTATAGATGCGCGATTTTCACGCACATGATTTTGAATTGTGCGCGATCTGTTAAATACTAGCGTGAATCGCGCAATCGCGCGTCCTAGAATAGACTCTGCTCTTACAACTATCAACAAGTTGAACAAGACAAACAAATAAAAACATGTTTATAAAGATGAAGGTATTGTCAATTAAGTGGGGTGAATTATCGCTTGTTACTGCAAGGCCCCCTTCCCCCATTAAAACAGTGTGTTTTTTCCCCCCTAAAACCGGAAAAAATCCCCTTTGAAAATAATATTAATGGCCATAGATCAGGATCATGTTTTTAAGTTGAATTTTTATACAAAGTATCAAAGATGTTTTCAATGTCATTGGAAATAACCAAAATATTTCATGACAGCAGCTTATTGATGATAAATTTGTTAATTGAATCTTGTTTTCACTTGTTTTTAATGAATTAATTTTCTTCTATTGAAATGAAAAATATTTGAAATTCATGCAAATTTCAACCCCCCCCCCCCTTCTGCATGGGCCCTGGCCCCAGTGAAAAAATGCTAACGAGAGCCCTGTACTAGGGTGAATTATCACTAGTGACATTAATTAGTGATAATTCACCCCACTTAATTGACAATACCCTCAACTTTACAAAAGTTGTTTGTATGCGTTTGCCTTCTTCAGTTGTTGATAGTTGTGAGAGGGTAGAAGTGTTGGGCAAGTTCTCATACTTCAAACTGTCAGTGGCACAACACATTATATTACCTATCTATATCCAGGTAATATAACATACCCCTTGCCAAGACGTAGGCATCTTTGATTGCCTTAATTTGCTAAATATTTATCTAAGATAAAGTAATTACAATAACACAATTCTTTCCATAACACTCACAGTGATAGCTTAAGGTCTTCAGCGTACCCGTTTATATACTATGACATGACGTGAATGCTGAAGATAACCCCGTAGGGAAAGTCCACCAATAATCGTGCCAGGAATCTGACACGCTCGTATTTATTCATCGAACATGCCACGAAGTAAAGTGAAGCATACCTTGATAAAACTATATATAATCTGTTGATAAGCCAAGGATGGACAAATAAAAATCTTATTACGAACATAAACTACCTAATAGTTTCCGACAGGTAAAAATTTCGGCACTTGGCCGCCATATTGCCAAAATGTTTGACCACGTGATTACGAGATTGACCTTTATGAACCCATGTGCCTCCAATATTTTTATAAATTATTTTTTTTATTGATATTGAAAAACGTGATTTACTGACTTTTATCTTCAATAAAATCATATTTAAGTACTAAAAAATTAATGAAAATAAATAAAAACATGATCTTAAATAAAAATATGAAAATCATGTCAACAAAATGTTCTAAATATAGTACACGACTCTATTCAAATCTGTTCCCGCGAATGACGTCATACGAGATCTCGCGTGGCACCTGAATGTCATGGCCGACTGTAGTCGGCGTAAATTGATGTTTTACAGTTTAATAGGCAATTTTAATGACAGTATTAATATTTTGATACTTTAATTGGTATAGAACGATATTAAAATAATTCTTTTATCGTAAAATGCACAAGAATTGATTGGGTCAAGTGTATTTGCATGTGAAAAACAAGAATAAATCAACTTATGTTATTCTGGTTAGGTTTCGTAACGGGTCTAATCCAAAACTTTAATGCCGCATCAGATGAAAAACAAAAATGTTAAATAGCGGCTTATAAAGTTTTGGAAGCCAGAACTATCACAGTGAGTGTCAGTATCCAGAGATAGATAGATAAATTAGAAAATAACCTATTTTGCAACTAGAATTTTTGTTTTGTTTGTTCAACACAGTTGGCAATTGGCGCCAAAACAGGAAAGATGACTCTGATTAACTTCAGGTGTTACAAAACTTTAAGCAACACCAGGGGTCAAAATCACCTCACCTGCTGGAGCCAAGAGATGCACAGACACCAGTTAATCTAACCCATTTAGTCGCCTTTAAGGATCACGCAGGGTTAAACTTAAACGGTCGCTTCAATTCCGTTGCCTCAAGCCGCAAAGTAAACCCCTCAGCCACAAGGGCAGGCAGCGGCTACAATTTAAATTTGTGCTGCCTGTTCAGTATCTCCAAAAATTATAAACTCATTTTTCATCCGAAGTATACCTGTGTGTGAGGGCTGCAGTACTATGATGTTTATTCAACTTGGCCAAAACCCTCTCCTGATGGGCTTCATATTCATCCCGGCTTGGGTAAATTTTAGAGATTAGGGCATCAAAGTTAGGATCCGGCCTAAGAGATCTTTTGGAGACCAGCTTTTTCCTACATGTCGGACACTCTTTGTTTCCGCTTCTCAGTGCGGTTATGATACAGTCTTGGCAAAATCTATGCAAACACTCTTTTGTTGTCATTGTATTTTTTAACATGTCGAGACATATTGGACACATCAGTTCGCTATGAAGGCTACGAGGAGAAACAGCAATCTCAGTATTGTCAGTAATTGCCTCTTGAGGAGTTCTGTGCAGCTCATAGAGACTTAATTCCCAAGTTTGAGTCGGTGCGTGAGGGGTTTCGTTCGCCATTTTGAAATTTTGATAATAAATTATATTCGAATAGAAGGAAGCACAATATCGTTGTCGTCTGCTGTATGAAATGGGAAGTGGGGTCGGCAAGACGGCGACTATAATATTCCCTCTTTCGATTTTTCATGTCTTGCAAATAGCAGATTTTTTTCTTAAATATGTTTTTGTTAAATTATGAAATTGAGAAATTGGTATTTTGCGCAGCAGTACCGTAATATGCGGAATATATAACTAAGTGAGAATCATGCATGCACGAGACTTTCGTGGTAACATGTGTTGACTACAAATACAATTATGATAAAATATTAACTGTACAGAATGCATATATGTGTGTGTATCGATATCTTTGGTCTATCCCTTTTTTAGATATGACTCAATCAACTCGTTTTTTTAAATCTACCAAGAGATTAGCGATTTTTAAAAGACAAGTAATTACTTTTTAAAGCATACATGGGAGTAATCTAGATATCTAGTTCATTCCGTGTGGCTACAGCTAGTTGCATTTTTCATTATCAGACTCGTTTTTTCCATACTTTTTAAACCTATCCATGATAAGTGCATGATACCTGAAAATTGTCTGCAAATCGATGCCAAGATGACTCAATTTTATGTTACGTGACATCCAACTTTAAAATACATCATCATGTAAATGTTGCACTTGCTAGCCTAATACCATGGAGCTATAATATTAGTGTTATATGAGTCTTTACTAATAAAGGACGATCTTGTCCTTCTTTCTCAAAATTTGAGGTTAAAACAGATTTATTTAGCACGGGTTTTTCGTGGCAGTTTTTGGTGACCTTTGTTTTGAAAGACCATGGAATAGTTGACAGTAGCATCATGATAGACAAACGATACAAGGCGTTCGATACCGTCCCCCACGATCGTCTGCTTTGGAAAATAGAGAACTATGGAATAAAAGGAGAACTACTGACCTGGCTGTCGTCCTTCTTGAAAGAGAGAACAATGAATATAGTAGTCGAGGGAGAACATTCCAAGAGCACCCATGTTGAATCGGGCGTGCCCCAAGGTACCGTACTAGGGCCACTGATGTTCCTTTGTCATATAAACGACTTGCCATTAAGCGTTAAATCACAAGTCAGACTGTTCGCAGACGATTGCCTCCTCTATAGAGAAATTAAAAACCATAAAGATCACATAACTTTACAAAAAGACCTTAAAAGTCTTGAGAACTGGGCGTCAGAGTGGGGAATGAGGTTCAACGCTTGTAAATGCTATATACTGAGCATCAAAAACAAGACATCACACTTCTATGAACTCAATAATACTATCTTAAAACACGTGGACTTAAATCCTTATCTCGGTGTACTTATCTCCAACGATCTGACATGGACCAACCATATTACAAATATATGTAAAAAAGCAAGTTCAACCTTGGGCTTTCTTAGAAGAAATTTGAAACATTGCCCTCTAGATTGTAGAAAAACAGCCTTTATAGCCCTTGTACGTTCGAAAATAGAATACGCTTCAATCATCTGGGACCCGTTCTTGAAAAAAGATATTGATAAACTGGAAAATATACAAAAACTAGGAGCAAGATTCATTATGAACGACTACAAGTCAAGAAAACCAGGATGTGTTACAGATATGCTGACCAGCTTGAAACTCGGCTCACTACAAGACCGTAGGACCTACAACCGCCTTGTAATGCTCTACAAGATAGCAGGGGGTATGGTGCCAGCAGTGGACCCTGATAAATACAGTTGAGTTCACACTTAACTTCCCACCCTTGTGCACTTCTAGTGCACTAGAGCTGAACTAGAAGTGCACACCGTGTGCACTTCTAGTGCACTAGACCATATGACCAGGCTGACCAGGGAAGGTGACACCTAAATGGTTTATTGGATAATTGCATATCAAGTGACAAGGGGGGGGGGGTCTTTTGTTAATCTGCTGTAAGAAAAACAAAATTTGGGAATATAATTGTGGCCTATTCATTAATATAATAAGTAAATTTTAAAATAAGCAGTTTTAACATTTTAAGTGATATCATGTTAAAGCTTAAATTAAAAACAAATATATTTATTGTAATCATATTTTTCTTAACCCGTATTTAACTGTAAGTGTAAAATAATACCCCTTAAAATCAAATTTATAGAATTAATAAGGTTATTTGTAAATAATAAATATGCTCCATAATGGATATTTAAATAAGTGTTTTTAAAGCTTACTTTTTTAATGGCCATGCATTTTAACTTTTCTAGTGTACAAATTGGAAAATCTGATAATTTTGGCCTAATTAATCTAGTTTGTCATTAATCTAGTTTTTCATAAGCTCAAACAAATCAAGCAAAGGTTTATATTTAAGCTAAAATATTATTTCTATAATATATAACTTAGAGATAATTCCTCATGTTGAATATTGAAAGAGAATATTTAAAAAAAAATTGATATACTGTGATAATTTAGTATTCAACTGTGTAATGCTTGCATATGTTTTAAAGATATAAATAATTAAAATATTATCCATAAAATAAATAAATTTGATAACTTTATACATGATTTCAATATTAAAAATTTAATGTATAAGGGGAATTACTTTTATTGAAGAGGAAAATCTCAAGTCATCCTGTGTATTGAGGGACTGTTTTATTATACAACTCTCCTGCTGATAGGAGAGCCTCAGGGTAAATAACAAAGAACAGTCAATTTTGCAGATTATAAGTATGCATTGAAATTCCCTTGTTTTCTCAAGGTTAGTTTAGTCATATAGATAAATGACCATAATTTTTGTATGGTCAAATATACAAAAAAAAATCAAAATGGCAGAATGCGTATTAGATATATTATTGTCTCTAAAGCGGAATTTTCTATATTTATTCATTTATCCACATTTCTTCCCATTCTGAATAATAATAAATAACTTAAGAGGACATTCCTGATGTTCAAGATTGAAGAGAATATTAATTCATTAATTTTAAAACAATCCATACACTGTGATATTATGTTTTTCAACCATGAAATGCTTGCATTCTTTTTAAAGATATAAATAATTAAAAAATTTCCATGAAATAAATAAAATTGATAACTTTATTCAAGATTTCTATATTAAAGATTTAATGTATAATGGGAATGCTTTAATACAAGAGGAAAGTCTCAAGTCATGCTGTGTATTGGTATTTTTCTGAGAGAGCGACTATTTTCATTACACTGGTCTCCTGCTGATATAATAGATTTTATGCCCACATAAAATAATTTATGTCATTGTTCTGTCCCTATACTCATTACTGTACAGAATATTACGGGTCAGGTTTTTAGCCGTTACGGGTCAGGTTTTAGCCAAGTACGTCTTAGCCAATCGATATCAAGACTTAAATCATGTGATGTTAATTAACCAATGATTACATTAGATCTATCACAAAGAAATAATTTTGGCGAGGAATGATTCTCGCCTTTCTGTTTACTAAAATTTATCTATTTTTGAAGTCATAAGCTTTATTTAAAGTGAACTAATTACGTATTACTATGAACAGTTATCTTATTAATCTGCTGGGAGCGAATTTTAGGGACGGTGTCCCCCGTTTCATATTCAATTTCGTGACGAAAATGGCAATTCATTTCACGGCAACACGGGCAGGATATCGTAACAGGATACAATTTATTATCAAATGAACATTTCTACATTCGTTATTAATTTTCACCTCATTTGAGACTCGGGAATTTAGACAGAACGATTGTAATCTACGATATGGATTTAATTTTCACAGACATATTTTTGTAGAAATGCAACTTTTTTGGGAGCTTTGAAAGTTTGAGACATCATCAGTCGGGAAACAGTTGTGCCGGCCTTTGGACACTGTTGGAACTAATGACATTTACAAATCAGAATTTATCCACAAAACGTTGCTCGTCATATTACAGATTTCGTAGATACCATACTATTTACGAGTCCTGAAAGTTACCATTGTTCAACAGTTCAAGTTTTGTACAGATGCCAAAACAAACATAAACGATCATACTTATGGCGAATAAATGGTTCATGGTTGACATGTCTAAACAACATTTACCTGCTTACACCAGATGGATGCCACCTGTTTACTCTGATCAGCTACGTCTCCTCAATGAGATAAGAACAGCAGCTTGGTCGCCGCCCCGCAGCATTTCATTTGTCAGACAATTTCAAAAGATAAGTATTTTGTTTACTATGTCTTTAAGTTATATTGTACTAAAGTCAGTATTTTACTGCATTGTCTGCCTGCCCTGTTATACAAACTATGAACAGATGAAGTCTAGGTTTGTTGCTTTGTCTTAACAAATTAATATAATAAGCTTTGATTATGACTCGAAGTAGATCTACTTAATGAATTTATCAGTGAGTAAATTTCTTTATATTTATAATATATAAGGTTATTCATTGCCGGGTTTGTTGTTGGTCATCAATTATTCTCCTAATGATAATGTACAAGAATGCAGTATTAATCAGACATAATTTTTCCTGGACACATAATTGAAATTCTATATTAGTCATGTTAGTTATCACTTATTTCCAATTCATTTACAGTTCACACAAACTTCTAATTAGAGTAGATAATAGTACATGTTGATTTTCTGCTAGTCTACTATACATTTGTACACACATCATCATAGCAGTATTATTTAGCAACATGTTAAGTAACAGTCCAGATTGGAGCGATTTAGCCTTATTTCTTTTTAATTTTACATTTTTTTTTTGTTGACTCCAACTAAATACAGTAAGTGTGATTTAGTTTATAATTTCCATACATTCATGTTTCACTGTTGTTTTTTTTTTCAGTCATTGAATTTAAGATTCAAAATTACTGTTCTGAATTCTAATTTTGAATTTATTCTACTATACACTTAATCAAATTTTCTTTAAATTTACACTGACCTGAACTAATTTTCACTGGCCTAGGACCAGTGTTAAATTCTATGACTGGTTTTACAACAGTTTAAACACGATTACAACACAAGGTTAGTTTACAGTCGGCGGAAGTGTGGCGGTTTTTACCTCCCAGTTTGGTTATTTCGATACAAATATGTACA